TGTGTAAATATCCGCACGCGAGTTGTCTTCTCAAAAGAAAACACACGTACGCACGCATATACACGCACACGTACACACCACTATTTTTCGTTCATTGTATGTAATCCTCCCTTAGCTGCGTCTCCAAATTCAGGCAATGTCAGTTTACGATATTCAAGACCTTACACAAGATAAGTCGTGACTGTAGTATCGAGATGTTCTGACTATCTCGGCTCACAATAAAGTAGAAGATTTTCGCAAACTCAAACGAGTAATTGTAAAGTCAACGATGACTGGCCCAGTTCTTTATGAACTCTATAGGTGTATCGCGCACAAGCGTATGAGCAAACCTGATGAAACCGCATAGTGCAGGGCGGGTTCACTTTTCTAGTAGAAGCATATCCACAGCCTTCCCTTCGCTAACCAACGCTTGTTGAAAAAAATGACCCTAAAACTCACATCTAGCACCCCACCCTCTTTAGTCCGTTTACCTTACATTGCTTCCCATCAGACCAGCCCGACAAGATAGCCCAAACAATAAGCAAGGGCCGAGCGAAGGGGACGATCCCACATCCGCTTCTCCCAGAGGTGAGCAGTGGTGGATATTGCCTCCCGTTAACTCCCATAGTACGCTGAAAATATTGGCACGAATGACAAGGTGAAACAAAGAATAACTGGGGAGTCTGAAAAGTTTAATGGGGCCGAACTTGTTCCCAAAAATAAAAAAGGGAACAGAGGTAAGCAGAGCGTCCCGGGCGTCGAAGTCGGCGTGACAGCAGAGTCGAACGCTGGGGCGAAACTGACTGCGGCTCGCCACGCGGAGCCATTTATGTACACACGTGGGCTTCTGGAATAATCGGCGTAGAAGGTTCAGCGTGTAGAACGTTCTGACCTCGAACAAGCAACACGTTTCTCGAATTTACCAGAACGTTACCTTAGAGTCAACAAAAACGCGTCCCTGCACTCAAGATTCGAACCCTGGCTTTCTCCGTCGAAGGCACGCGCAATGTACATTTGGCCACGAGCGCGCTGCCTGGTTCGTGAGCTGCGCTCGCGGCATGATATCACCTCATTCTATTGTTAAGCCCCGAGACGCGTAGAGCCCAAGTTCACGTGACAGATCTTTATATTCTGATAGACCAAGTTATCCCGCAGCAAGCTTTGTGGTTCATTCTTCCTTGAAGAAGAATAGCCGTGTAGATAAAAAATGAAAAACAGAGAAAAAACACATTTCGCAAGTGGTTTTGGCGTCAAACGTTCGTAAGCCTGTCGTTTTGAGACATGAATACTATGATGTCACTCTTGGGTGAGTGCTACATTTGTAGTCATTTTTTCGTTCATTCCGGTCGCTCTCTATGCGAGTCACCTGTCCCTGTAACGTTCAATTTTTTTAACTTGTGTCTTTTATGACGATCGTTATAGCGACACATATTCAAGTTGTGCGGCCTAAAAGGCTGCATTGGTTTCACACTCTGTAAATTTGCTGCGTTTTAATGGAGATTTTATCGACACGTGTAATTGCCACGCCAACCTCATTCTGCCATCGATAATTGGCGGAACCCGAATGCTCTTGATTGTAAACAAATGCCAATACATAGCGAGAAACTGTTAACGACGGATAGTTAAAATCACTTTCAAGGTAAGAAAGGCAAGCAGGAGCTTCAAATATCCGCCCCCCCCCCCTCCCCCCCCCCCCCCAGCACGAGTGTCATAGGTCATACTTTGGTCGTACCTACGACAGCGCTATGGCATCTCGTGCGCGAGTTCCGAAAGCACGGCGGAGGCATGCTGTTCGAATAACATGCCTCGCTCTTCTCAATCTGTCATTGTCTATAGTGCCTTTTCACCCCTCAAATAAAGGAAAAAGACTTCAATCGAATCTAGCAACCAGGTGGAAATGGGTCATTGGGAGCTCTTTCGAAAAAAATCGCCGATGTTGTATTTGCGCCAACAGTGTTGCACTGTGACTGTTCTACATTGTAAGCGAGGACGACATCGGCGCTGTTTTCGTATTTTACTTTCAAAGGACAACGTCGGGCACCATATTTTAGCACATCTGTTCATGTTCCAGATGAGAATTCCGCACCACATTACTAGTTTAGACAACAGTGTTTTAATTATTCTGGTATCTCGGTATCTCTTTTTAGTTGCTTAGGGGTAAAAAGGTGTGTCCAAAGTTGGTGAGCATAGGCGAGTGACGGACGGGGAGACAGACAGATTTTTACGAACAAATAACAAAAAAACTCAACACAATAAGTTTAGTTTTTTTGAAAACATGTATTTTATACATTGCGATTGATTACGGAAGAATACAAATTGAATTACAGCGAACTTTGCCGCAGGAAAAAAAAATAAATTGATGGGTTGAAAAGTTAAAAAAGATATAATTGACTACAAGTAATTGGTTACGTATTAATTTTAGATCATTACGGTTAATCAGTTTCTGATTATGTTTAATCAATTACGTTTTATTCTAAATTTTTAATATTTCAATTAGTTTTTTTCTGGGGTAACGTTCGCTGTAATCGTAACTTGTTACGTAGAAGCCTCATTTAATAGTATCACCATCACACGCTTTTCAAACGGTCAAAGTGCAGGGTGCACAGAGTTCGTACACCCGGTGAACACCATTCCAATTACTGCAGGATGTATGAAGGGGTGTACGAAGGCGTAATTTTCAACTGCACGCAAGTTGCGTGCTTCCTAGTCCCCCCAGAAACATACATCGTGTTAAAAGTGTGTACGAAGGGTGTTCGTTCAAAAACAAACACACTTTTTACACCAATATGGGCGTGAAACATGTTTTATTTGTAGCCCACTGTAGCTTTTGAAATATCAAATTATAAAGTACAACTCCCTAACATAGCATGAAATGCGTAACACGCGTGGTTTGTGCTGGTCGTACTTTCATATAAAATGCATTACTATTGTAATACCTTCAATTTCAAGAAAACCTTTTTTTTTTCCTTTTGAGGTTTTGTTTCAGTCTCGGAAACGCAAAGAGAAAGGCGACCCCTTCTTGAAGCAGACTTGAGGGCGTGTCTCAAAGCCAAATACACACTGACGTGCACTACTGACATCAAAATAAAGTAACACACACAAGGTCACCTAAACAATACGGACATAAATTCCATCTGTGGAAGTGAGGTTGAAAACAGACACGTACCTGTCAGTTCCCACCCGTCTCGGGAGTCGTGTTGTGCGCACCAGAGTACTCACGTAGAAAAACGTTGAAAGCAGTCAAAGTCGCCACAACGGTTGAATTTCCGTAATCTTTGAAGTAACTCAGATTATAAGAACAAGCTCTGACAGAGACATCCCAGGAGAAAAGCGTAGCCAGATATGGCGGTGCATGTTATACTAGAGATGGGTCACTCAGGAGCGAGCCGGATCTTCTGAGCCGCTCTGTTTAAAGAGCGAGTGAGCCGTGGCTCAGTAAAAGTGAGCGGCGGTTCTTTTGGAAGATGGTTCTCCCTCGTTCGGTCAGCCGTGCCGAGTCTCGAGTCAAAGCCGGGACAGGGCTAGGCATTGGACGGGTACTTTGCCGGGTGCGATTTACACGCTATCTATAAGTTTCGTGGATCTTAAGTACTTTGTTGAATTACATTTTTGTGTTGTACTTCAAATTATTTTGACATTATTTTGTATGGATGCGCATGTATATAACTGAATAAAGTTGAAAGAAAATTCATGATTTTTGTTCTTATTTTCACTAAACTCATTTTTGAAGCACCACAAAAACAGAAAACCTAAAGTAATGACGATGAAGTTGTTTTTTTTTTCTTGAACAATACATTGCATTCTGACTTCTAGAGTATCATAAAATTCTACCCCCAATATTACAAAATAAGGGGTCATTCCAAATAAAAAATTGCGCCTTTAAATTAAGAAATTGATAAATTGATTCTCCATACACACTGAAAGTACCTATAACATGGCTATTGGGGGGATCGGTGGCCGACTGGTCTAGCGCACACCAGCTCGGAGCACGTGGACCGAAAGCTCGCGCTGCAGAACCCGGGGATCCTGGGTTCGAGCCCCACCCCTGCCCGCTTCGATCTGGATGAGCATCGTACCGGCGTGCGGTCGTGTATCACTACTGCGTGATGCACGTTAAAGACCCCGGGCTAGCGGCTGTACCGCACTGGCTAAATTTCTCATCTACAGCTGGGAGACTCGTCGCCCCTGTGAGGCAGACCAAGTTCTAGGCTGTATAAACACACACACACAACCCAATTTTTTAACATGGCTATTTACTTATGCATATTTTTTTTAATACCAAATAACTAGACTGCATAGCACAGGTTGCAGTGTAACCTTCCATATGCAGTCTAGTTATAGGCTTTGAAAAAAGGATATATTCATGAGTAGAATAGCAGTATTATAGGTAGTTCACTACTACTTTCGATGCGCCGCACCACCACACGATGCACGATCGGCGAGAATCGTGAGATATCGTTCGAACGGCAGCGGTCAACGAACGGTACCATACGTGGACCCGGCCACCCGGTTCCGACAGTACGGTTCGGGACAACTACGGGCACGGCTCAGTGAACGAGAGAGTGCGGACTTTCTCTCTCCCAAACAACCACGGCTCACTCGTTCTTTAAAGGAGCGGCTGAAAAAGATTCGGCTCGCTCCCGGGCGACCCAGCCAACGAAGTGAGCCGGTGAGCAGTTCAAATGTGCCGGTTCATTTCGGTGAGCTGAGCCGTTCCGTGCCACTCACTGAAGAGAGCAGTTTTGCCTATCTCTACGTTATACCTTGCGCAAGCATTTACTTGTGAAGTAAAGTAAAAGCAAGCATTTACTTGTGAAAGCAGGCACCAGGGCAATGTGAAAACCCCGGTTCCGCAAGTATTTTTGCAATGCTTTCGATCTTTATATTTCAGTGACGCGCTCTTATTTATGTTGATAATATGGAATCGCAAATAGTATTTTTCATTCAATATTAAGGGGGAATGATAAACTGATTTTCGGCTTAGCATTCCTGAGAGTTATAATGATAGTTTCTTTCTGCAGCCTCACCTCCCGACCATCAAGCTTATTTCGAAGATTGGCTACACAGTGTCCTTCATCAGTCTCATCGTTGCCTTCATCATCCTGGCTTCTGTCAAGTGAGTCAAAGCTACATTTCTTTGCTTTAAGAAATATAACTCCCATGCTCGTTTTTTTTTTTTTTTTCACAAATCGATTTTGCGTGTAATTTTTACTTTCATTAACCGGTCATGCAAGTGAAGAAATCAGATGCTGAATGAGAGCGGCATCACCAGCGAGAGGAACTTTCTCTGCAAATGAGTAGTTCTCACGGACGAATCGCCGGCTTGGAGATATGTCAACGTTAGCTGTCGAATTGAGCGGTTCCTTCTCTTGACACCCCTAGGGAAAAAAGTAGCCATTTCTACATATGCGACTAATCTCTTTAGCGAGAAAATATCGTCAAAAGGACACTTTTATGCCCCAAACAGGTATTGTTTGTACCGGCAAAGCATCCTTGCCTCCCTCCTCCAAACAGTTGAGTCACCCATCCGCAACGGAAAATCCTCTCAATTTCGTCACGTGATGAACGCTCGGGGAAGAAATCACCAGACTTTCTCCGTCGTGTAATTACCGCTTTCAAATATCTCCGTAACCTTTCATGGCAACCGTTGCCTCCAATTAAGCCGATGGACGTTGCGACGCTGCGGCAAATTGAAAGGCGCATAGAAAACACAAATAATGGTTTTCCTAACTTCCGGCAAGTATTAATGCCGGCAATATAAAAACAGGATTTTATGGCATTACGGCATGGCCGTTTTAGCAGCAAAGACTTTGGTGGAATTTGCGTGTGTGGGTACGTCCGGCGAACTCCATATCTATATTACAACTGTTTTCTTCAAAAGAGCGCGGGGCTCATTATATCGGACGCGACCCTTCTCGTCGTTTATCAGATGACAAGGCAGCGTGTCGCCGCAGTGCCCATATTTTTCAAACAAAGAACTGGAAGAGAAGCTCCTCAAAACAAATCTTTCTGCTCGCCATGATTCGTGCTTTCCTTTTTGCAACTCAGCTCCTTTCCAGCATTTGCTATTTTGAAGTGGAAACGTTTGGTCGTTGACGGAAAGCGTACATATGCTACATTCCTTAAGCGACAACAGACTGTAGAGGTTTTAGAATGTGGGCTAGGAACCTTAGCTATTGGCAGGGAGCTGCAACCCCTGTGTCCTGAGCGGCTAACATTAAAACTATACCCGAATGGGGACAACAACAAGAACGACGCAGCGCTCAGCTGTCGCAGCCGAACGCTGTTGCACCGTTTGGCTGGAGGTCGTGCTCTCCTGTCGTCGGAGAAGGGAATCTTTTTCAGCCACTCCGGCCTACGTCAGTAATACAGCATGCACCGTGCATGTGAGCAGCACCTGCTGAACAGAGAGCCCAAAGCGAATAAAGCTCGCATCTTTTGGCGACTGCTACCTATAGAGATCCAACTTAACGCGCCCGAAAACCGTCGCTACGTTTACTGCCAACACTTTTTTTATGTTACACTGTCCACCGCGCTCCATCCAGATAGCTCACGTAAATAATGATGTCCTTGGGCCTGATTATATTATTACCACTAACGAACTTTATTTTTCATTTCGATACATAGATGGAAGAAACAAGAGGAAAAAGCTGTGAGAACAGCTTAACGGAGCCCCTTGCCCCTTCCAGTGGTACATACAGAAGTCAAAACAAACCAACAGCGAAAAACAACGAGAAAACCAACATAACAAAGTAACAAACAAAAATCAAACAGGTTTCATAAATCGATTCATTCGTTTTCGCCCCACATTAGTTCAGTTCGTAATTCCTGAATTGATAAGCAGATAGCGCTGGAGAAAAGAAGCTGGACAGAGTGCCGCTTCTAGTTCAATCCCCTCGCAACTGATTGAAACGACTTGTCAGCTAGACAGCTTTCTTGATTCTCAATGCGCAGAGAAACAGGGGGTTTTGGAGACCAGGGCACGTGGGTATTTCCCTGAGTTTTGGTTGGAACGATTAGTGGGTAGACCGAAAGCTAGCGGCCGGTGTCTCCACTGCACTCGTCGAACGCGTTGCTACGCAGAACGTAGAGATCCGACGTTTAGCTTTCGCGTTGTAGCGCGTTCCACGAGTGGATTGGAGACAAAGGCTTAAGGTCTACCCGGCTGTCATTCGAATCAGAGCTCGGTGTTCTGACGTCCCCTCCCGTTTCCTCCTCTTTCTCATTTTCTCCGCATGTAAAGATGCCCCCAAATAAAAAGAAGGCAGATAAGCCATGCATTTGTCTTAATTCCCGACATACGTAAAAAATCATTGAATGAGCCTGTCTACTTTAGTTTTGTTTGATTTGCTCCCGTATGAGTACTTTTCTTCGCCAACGATGAATTGCACCTTGGGGATGGTGGACTCTGTCAGGTGATACGCGTCTGAGATTTATTTCTTCGTCCCTTTTCCCAAAATATTGAAACAATAAATTTAGTGAACTTATAATTATCAGGTTGCAAAAATTGTTCAAAAATATATTTTACTTTCTTTTTATACAAGCCAATAAGTTAGTCATTTTTTAAATAAGAAAATTCAATTAATTTTATGGTTCATTCACGCTCTAAAGTGTAGCAACATGAAATGATTAGAAATTGCAGTCAAACTTCGTTCAAATACTTGTATTTTTCAGGAGTCACGCTACTTCGTACGTTATGAGAAACCGATGTGCTAAAGCGCCAAACATTATTAGGTCGTCTGTTTTGTCCCCTTATGTGTTTCTTTCGTTTTAAGTCAATGTAGATCGCCAACACGCTAAAGTCTTATTTTATCACCACTGCGATCTTCATGTCATGTTTTGTCCCGCTGGCGAAAGCTGTGTCGTTTGTTTCGTCCTCTTATGTGTTTCTTTCGTTTTAAGTCAATGTAGATCACCGACACGCTCAAGTCTTTAATGGTCTCCAGTGTCAGTATTTCTGCCAATGTAACATATAGCTGGTTCAAATGAAATAATGTATGAGGTATTGTTCATATGAGATATTGTCATTAGTAGCACAGAGCTGGTTGATATGAGGTATAACATAAAGCCGCTTCATATTAGGTAGGTTCACATGAGATTATCTGGAACAAACTTAGAAACAAATGTCAGCATTGAGTTGTGATGTTTGTAGTGTACAAACCTCTGGGCTTTTTATTTTTTAAGTTAAAAAAAAAACAATGAACGTTTACTCCCAGCCCGAAATGTGGTGCTAGATCACCGAACCAAATGGTAGCGTCTCAAAGCTATCATTCGTTTGATTGAATATGAAATTGGGGGTACCGGTCGAAGCACGGGCTAACTTCTTCGTGGAATATGAGAAAATTATAGAACTAAATATGGCACTGGTAAGCGTTTTCAGCGAACGATACCACTGTATCAGTTTGCACACGTGTGAATATTTCCTTTGCAGAGTGAAATAATAGTATTATTAATAATCAAGAATCAAATATCAAGAATAAATTTTATTAGCTGTCCAGGGACGTCCATGTGGTCTCGGTACTGTCACACCGAAACTTACACACTACAATAAAAATGAGAAAAAAATAATAATAGCAATAATAATAATAATAATAATAATAATAATAATAGTAGGTTATTTATCATGTCAGTATGGTTGATATGAAGATAAAAAGCTGACCGAGCAGCTTGACTGGTCTTCAAGTACAAAGAAGGGGTAAGAAAGGTGAAATAAAATAACACAATAAATTATACCAATATACAAGGTACTTACATCATAAACGTAACCAAAACCACAAGCAAATTGACAACAGTAAACTTCACCTACACTAAGACTTAAAGAAATTAGCTTGAAGACGCAGGCGAGCGGGTGACGAATCATTGTAGAAAATCCCAGATACAAGGAGCTGAAAATGACAAGAGTCTAAAAGGGTGTTGTTCTTGTCCTTTTTAGCTCCTTGTCTCTGGGTTTTTCTACAATGACTAAGACTTAGTCATCAAAAAGCTGAACACAAAAGAACAAAAAATTATTAAAATTATTTTAGCATATCTTAGTACCAAACATAAAGAAAAGAAAAGCTTTCCATGCTTTTGTATTATGCAGGAAGTTCAGTGTACCTGCAAGTGTATATACCAAAATAAAGAAGGGGATGGCTATTTAATAGCGATGGCAATAAATATTAAATACCAGAAGCAATCTTCTCCAGAGTTGTTTGGAGGTGTAGGTATTGTTAAGTTATCATTATATCTTGCAGAATTACTAAAGCTTTTTATCTGCTATTGGGCCAAATTCGCATTCCGCGACTTTTACCTTGTTCCTGTGCTTCAGGAAACTGCGGTGCCCTCGGAATAGCCTGCACATGCACCTGTTCCTGTCTTTCATCTTGCGCGCCCTTGCAGTCTTGGTCAAGGACGCCATCTTTGTGGACGGCATTGGTCTCAGCCCCAACATGGACTTCAGCCAGGACGTAAGTACGAGCAGCACTCCCGCTGTGAACTTCCAACTCCGTCCCTTAACCTCATTTTTGCGTTGTGTTCACCTCGGGAATGGCTAACCTCATTTGGCGGCCTGTGGTCCACATTGATTCGCAAAAAAAAGGGACGATAATACCCCAAACAGAGGAAACACAAACGCTCTTACACACACTTATAATATTCTAATATATCTAACGCAGAAAATGAGGCAGCTAAGATTTATCCGTAACTCTGACAGGTCAAAAAAGTTGCGCACACAGAAAGTAAACCAATTTGAACGCGGCAATTTTTTTTCTCACTATAACGTGTCTTGAATCTGGCGCTAGTAAAGTTGTACCTTGGTTTTTCCCAAGTTGGAATAGACACATTCTTCGGCCGCCATGTATGATACTATTGAATCGTGCGCCGCACACCAAATCGCGCTCGGTGTCAACATACGTACCGCATAACTGAAAAAAAAAGAAAAACAATATTTCGTTTTTTTTTTAGGTCACAGTGCTCCGGCCACTGTACTTTGCATAAACTTTGGTCGATGGATCCAAGATAAAAACAAGAACCTCTTTGCCTATCATACCAGTCACATGCAAAAGTCTCGTAAAAGCATGACCAGCCTTCAAGAAGTGCCGACGGTATCAAAAGCTGGATGAACTTAGTTCCTTGTCCTAAAAAACGACGTGACCGTTGTTGACAAGAGCGTATCTTGACTCTGAATGCCCGGCATATTCATGTGTCTGGGAGACGACTGCTCTCAAGTCGGAGGAGAGCTATACAGACTTGCAAGTGTAAGGATTCACCATGGACAAGAATGGTTCCGACTCGAGATGGAAAAATATGACTGTATCTTAATCCTACGAGTAATGTCGGGAAACGAGTTACGTTCCGCGTGTTTTGAATTGCGCTGGCTTGGGCGCTGCTAGGAGTCTGGCGCCACCCTCGCACTGGGCGTCTCGCCGTTTTGCCGGTTTTCAAGTTAACGTGACACATTAAGCCAACCCATTGAATCAGATCAGGTGTCTAAGTCACTTGAAGTCGTACCGTACATCGGAACGTCAAAACGCCCCGAGAAGGCTGGGAGTGTGCCACAATTTCTCGAATGGTCGGCAGGTTATGGGTTATTCGTGTATAATCTATCATGTTACTTCACAATTATGTCTATTCCTAGCGTTTCTCTAGCTTGTATTATAACGAAACTGTTGAGGTGCGCATGATGTCAATATTATATTATAGTTGAGATAACTCCTCAGATGATAGCGGAATTGCTCACCTCGGCTTAATGTTAATCAGCATCACGTAGTCGAGCACCACTCTGGGACACAACCTCAAGCAGTCGTAGAAGTCACGTTGATCGCAATCTTAAAAAATGCTGTTGCTTTCCTCTGTACTCATTTACGTTATAACCCTTGCTGAGACCTGATTCGGAGAGCGAAGCGTGTTCAGTGCCCGGGGCCCCAATTGCTGTGGCCACAATTTCGTGCCTTTTATACAAGCGCACTCGAGTTTGTCGAAGGATCGGCGCCAGCGCTGAGGCAGATCGAGTGCTCGGTAAACATAGCTGAGTGCTTTCCACATCGGCCAATTCCTTCGCTCGCCGCGTCGACGATGTATTTCGAATTAACGTGGGAGGGACTTTAAGGTGAGAAGCTGTCTAGGCCCGAGAAAGGCGGCGAAGGAGCTGTCATAACGCGATCCAGAAGTGTACTTTCATTTGTCATCTTTGCCTGCCAACCTCTGCATTTTCCGGGCCGCCTGCTGGAACTATCGCGGAATAAATGCTGTAGAAGACACCGATGAGAGGTAATTAATTTTCGGTAACACCTAGTCAAGTTCAGTATCATACTCTTAAACGTACAATTATATTCATTTTTGCAAAAGTAATATTCCTGCCGCGTGGCAAAGTTAATGCCATTTCTATCGAATGAGAGCATGTGATCAACGAAGAAAGTAGACGTAGCAGAGCGCGTTGAAAACTACAGAAAACACAGAAAGAATGAAACACGTCAGAGACGAATAAACACACATATAGTTTTTCAATTAGCAACGAAGATTTATGAGATGCCCATGACACTACGACCGTGAACTTCAAAATATTGAACGAAAGAAAACGATAAGAGAACGAAAATTCAACGAAGATAATGAAAACGAAAATGCTGGAAATTTAAAATAAAACCAAATTGCTCACAAAGTTTAAAATACCGGAATAAAATTATAGGACAATAATGGAAATTAACACCTAAAAAAGGGGGAAGAGGAAGAAGAAGGAAAGGAAGGAAATTAACCTCTGAAAAAAGGGAAAGAGAAGAAGAAAAACAAAGCAGGAGAAGGCAAAATGAATAATTCATCAAAACAAGCTTTTACGATACTTCTGGCGCAAGGAACTCCAGCTCTTTGGACGATAACGCCAAAGAAGGCTCAGAAACATTGTTCGCGTCGTATCTGAACTTAAACACCTCAATTATTTTTGGGCCCACACTTTGAAAACACCAATTGCTTGACTCACACAGAGATAAGTGTAGGGCGCGAAATAATTGCTGCACAATCTTCACGTGTGCCTCACGTGAGACTGCCGCCAGAGATTTTATCCGTTCTTGAGTACAAAAAAACGTAACCATGCAAATATCCGGAGCCTGTCTTGCGTGGGTCACTGTATTTGTGATTATCTTGTGAACACCTTCTAGAGGAAGGTCCGTGGTCAGTCTAGCGTCGCATTCGCCTTACTTTTCGCACCTCCAATAGTGTACTCAAACCTTTTTTTTTCTTTCTGTCAAGCACGTAAACAGAACTGTCTTCGCAACCAAGTTTCGCTTTTCCCTTCTCGGAACACATAATTACGTCTTCGTCCATGTCCCTCCGAATCAGTGAAATAACAACTGCAGCACATTGCTGCTTCTCTTGTACTCTAAACAATGGGCAGCACTGTTTTTTTTCCGCTCCCCAATAAGAGCTGCCCCGTACGACTCATATGCTTAGCTTTACGACAGATAGCACAATAAGAAATTTTACATCAGTTTTATGTACATTGATAGTGGTGTGTTTGAAAAACGAGCTATAAATGCTCGTGTCAATGGAACGTGCTTCGGCGTAAAACGAACAAAGTGGAAATGACAAAGCGCGTCATTTATTTTTCGCCGTTTGTAGCTTTCGGCGTTTGTCTTTTCGGCCTTCTGATTTCTCCACGTTGGGTCATTCCATGTCAAACGTCCCAGACGTTGCGCTCGACCCCTTCCGATTTATAAAATAAAATTCATGGCTTTTTGCCGCGATGTCCGTAGCCATGCCCTGAAATATGTATCGCGAAAACTTTTTTTTATGACGTGAGCGCGGTTTTAACTTTTAAAAACAGCGTGAAAGATGGCATCACTCAATAATTGATGAAAAATCAGCTTTTTAGTGAAACACCTAACAATAGTTTTTGCTTAAATTTTCACAGTTTTCGACTTACAAAGTGATTGGCCTTGTGAAGTTTTGTTTAATTTAATTTTTTTTTAACTGAACAGTTTTGAAAATTCTAACATTTTTTGTTATTTTAATAAAAAAATGTTTAGTTGCTCCCGGGACTTAATAGAACTTTCTACCAGCTTTCCTGCAGGTATATAATCTGCAAAAAAATGTTCAAAACCGCTCAAATAAATATCTCGCACTAAACACAAATCCTTACGTTGCAAAAAAAAAGTGCGCTTTGACGCATAAACATCCGTTTATTTCACCCGTAGGTGGTTTAAGTAAAAATACAAAATATGGTGCGTTTGGAAGAACATTCTATAATCTTTTAATTCTGAGTGTTTAATCGAAGCAAATTTTTGTTTAAAGCGAGAAAACAATTTTTGGAGTTGAACTCTCGCACCACAACCTGGCGTCGCTTCTTAACGCCTTTTTACCGCATAGCACGCCACCTGAGACGATAGCTGAAGTAACTAGGTCCAAAGAAAGAACGGAGTTTTCTGCCACTTCCCCTTGTCCGTCTTTCCGGCTGCAAGGGAAGAAACGGCGGCTATCGTGTAATAATCGAAGGTGCCGCCAGCGCGTAGCAATAGCAGGTCCGTTGTGCCATTTGTACCCGAGGGCGGCTCGAAACGCGATGCCTAAACGACGGCGACTTCTCCGTGCCATGCCAAAGGTCCCACGGCCACCTCCGATTCCTAAAATAAAATTGATGGCTCTTCACCGTAACGTTTGTGGTGCCTCTCTAACATAATTGTGTGACGAAAATCAAACTTCACGGGGTGATGGCGGTTTAAACTGGTAAAAGGGGGGTGGAACCCCCCTTTTACCAGTTTAAACTGTTTAACTTTACAAAAAGTAAGATTTTTACCAGTTTAACAGTTTAACTTTAAAGTTTAACTTTAACTTTAAAAGGGGGGTGGAACCCCCCTTTTACCAGTTTAAACTGTTTAACTTTACAAAAAGTAAGACTTTTACCAGTTTAACAGTTTAACTTTACAAAAAGTAAGATTTTTTTACGAAATACTGAAATATGTTTGCCGAAAAACCATGCGGTATTCGAATTGCTATGTAATAAGGATCATGGTCGTGGAATTTGGTATGCTCGAAGCCGTTTTAAAGAATAAGGAATATATGAGCATTTCAGCATATTTTTAGTTTTGTTACAAACTACGGCTTTGCTGTATGCGACTTTAAATACTCCTATTGACAGCCCTGTAGGTATACTGTACACAAGAAAAGGTTTCAGGCCGTACGACTAAATAACTTGCAGAAAAAAAATTAGGGCGAAATTGCGTTTTGCCGTTTGAAGAACCGTCAATTCTGCCTTGAGGTGGCCCAAAGAAAAAATGCGTAACATGGTGACTTTTACAAAGGAGGTTATTTCCCTTTGTTTTTGTAAGTTTGATTAAAATAGTTTTATTCTAAAGCAGAAAAAAAAAAACATTTTGAAGTTGAGCTTTTGCGCCGCAACCTGGCGTCGTTCGTTGAGCCACTTCTCTGCGCAGCACGCCACCGTCGAGCCCGGCAAAGCGTGCGACGGTGTCACGGTGTG